CCATAATAATTGTTAACAATGTCAAAACTGATGCATACTTTTGATATTTTACAGATATCTGATATTTCACCAGACAAGTGCACTTATTGACAACCACTTCACTGTCAGTCCAAAGCCTCTACAGTAGTGGTATTTATGAAATGGTATTGCAATGTGTATGTTTAGTTGATCTTTTTTAAATCACATTTTTCCTACTTTTAAAATCCCTTTACTTCCATAGTATTTTTTCATACTATTGAAATCAATGATGCCCCAAAGCTGTTTGGCTACAAACATCCTTCAAAAACCCTTCCTTTGTGTTCAGCAGAACAAACAAATATATACAGGTTTGGAACAACTTGAGGGTGAGTAAATGAATAAATGAATCAATTAATAAATAAATTTTAATATTTGGGTGAACTATCCCTTGAAGTATTCCTTTGAGGAGTATAATGGTGGAGCTTTAAAAGTAGCACAATTACAAAGAAAGTCTTTCTTAAAAAACGGAATTTTTTTATTTTTTATTATTACTTTATTTAAGATGTCATTGTTCATATTGTGTAATGTATTACATTAAGCAAGTTTATTTCATGTTTTTTTTTTGGGGGGTGAAGTGTTATTTGATGATTAGTTTTGGATTTTGCTTTTATATGGAGTTCTATTATATTTTAACAGATGCATTTCAAACCAATGAGCTATGTGTGTAACATGTTTCTCTGTATATCTGTAATCTGTATGGTTTGTTGTGTACTGTTGAAAAAAACGTTTTTTTTTCCTAGAAATGTTTTTGCTTATTGCTTTACTGCTTTTAAAAATCTACAATATTAAGGTTGCTAAAACGCTTTTATTTAAAATTATTAATTAAATTATTACTATTATAAAATTATTATTATTTTTATTATTCTGTGATTAATTTTATCTGGTTTTATCATAGCTTTTTCCATAGTTTTATTTAATTTATTGAAACACCACTGCATATAGTGGGCAAAGCTTTCATTTAAACAAAAATCATGTTATATCAACAGGAGTTAACGTGGTATAAAAAGCATAAAGCATAAAGTTAGGTAACATAAACAGAAATAAATTATGCCGAGAGAACGTCTCGGTTACGTATGGTAACCCTCGTTCCCTGAAGGAGGGAACGGAGACGTCACGTCGGATGTCCAACGAATTGGGATCTTGCTTAGAGAGACCAATCTACTTCGAGTGTAAACTAAATGAGCCAATGCACATTGGCATGCGATTATTGCATCCAGCAGCTGCTGATCACAGCGTGAGTATAAGTAGGCAGCAGATGCAGCGCATATTCAGGTTTTCGAGTTCTCCACCGTGTCGCCGAAAAGGCCGGCCTGGGACACGGGGGCGTTCAAGAATCGTGTCTTGTCCGTCTCGCACATGTCAGCCAGTCACAGCCAGAAATGGCGCTCCTGGACCACCGTAGTGGACGTCGCACTACCCAGAGACCGCGCCGTAACCTTCGTCGCTCGTAGCGCGAGGTTTGTCGCTGTGCGGAGTTCTTTGAGAACTTCCAGGTCATGGTCACCCTCGTGCAAGTCCCTCAGTGCCTTAGCCTGGTGCACTTGCAATAACGCCGAAGCGTGTAAGGCGGACGCAGCTTCTCCACAGGCCGTATAAGCACTGCCG